GACCAGTCTTATCACCCTGGTATACCTGTTCCTCGGAGTCAGGAGCTTACAGTCTGTGGAAATGCTGAGGCATCCAGAAAGTGCTGTTTTAAACATTTATGTTACACTGGGTGATGTTAGAAGTAATAATGCACCAGGCTTTGGATCCACATAGAAAAAGGTGTCCTGGCCATCTGTAAACAGCCTGCTTTAGCCTGAAAAGTCCTTCCCAGTGGCATTGTTGTCCTAAAGGCAGGCATCTAGGCTTGCAAAGTGAAGTGAAAGTATTAGTCACTCAGGCATGTCAGACTCTTTGGGACCCTGTGGACTGTAGCCCGCCAGGCTCCTCTGTCCATGGAATTCTCCAGGCAAGATACTGGAGCGGATTGCCATTCCCATCTCCAGGGGATCTTCCTGACCCAGCGATCAAACCTGGGTCTCCTGCATTGCACACAGATTCTTTACTATCTGAGCCACCAGGGAAGCCCTGTGTAAATATGCAGGGTTGGTGTCTGTCTTCTTTCTTCTGTCTCTTTGAATGTCCTGTTTCCAGCCAGAGCTAGACAACTACAGAAACAGCTCCTGGCTGGCTCCTCCCGCCCCCTGCAGCTCACGTTGATCCTCTAATGTTTTTATAATCAGTCTTGCTAAATACTTCCTGTAGAGAAAAGGAGTAGTGATGAGAAGTAATCTTGCTGCTTCTTTATTCTGAAAAATTCAATGACTGATTTACAGATACTGCTTATCCATCATGATATCCCAGTGTGGAAGATGGGGATTAAATTTCAGCCTCAAAGGTTATGGGATCCCTCAAGGCTTGGAGTATAGTAATGGAAAATTGAGAACCTAAAATAAGGGATTTTAGAATCTGCATAGTGAATAAACTATTTTATCATTAGGTATTTGTTCTGCTGTGAATTTAGGATTATGTAGATAGGACTGTGCCATGTGCTTTTTCTAGAGCCTTAGAACTTTCTCTACTGTATCTTCCATTGCTGTTCAGTTGCTCAGTCATGTCTGACTTTTTGCAAACCCATGGACTACAGCACTCCAGGCTTCCCTGTCCTCGCCTATCTCCTGGAGTTTGCTCAAACTTATATCCGTTGAGTTGATGATGCCATCCAATCATCTCATCCACTGTCGCCCCCCTTCTCCTCCTACCCTCAATCTTTCTCAGCGTCGGTTTTGTTTTTCTTTTTCCAATGTATTGGCTCATTGCATCAGGTGGCCAAAGTATTGGAGCTTCAGCATCGGTCCTTGTCGTGAATATTCAGGGTGATTTCCTTTAGGATGGACTGGTTTCTTTCTTATATTGTCTTTCTCTTCAGTTTAAGGCAAATTTTCTTTGATTCTTCTGAGTTCCTATATAATTTCTGAGCCATTCCCCTCTGGTCTGGAGTGTTACTAATAAGATTTTCTAAGCACTGCTAAAAGCCATTACCTGACTTGACATCCCAAAGACTTATAGGTCACCCCTTTCTTCTGAAGACTAAGATGTCTTAATCTTCACCTGTGTATTAGGAGTAATACATGCTTCCTAGGGTGCATGGTCTTCCTCTGCCTCAAATCTAATTCTTGCCCCCTGCAGCTCACGTTGATCCTCTAATGTTTTTATAATCAGTCTTGCTAAATACTTCCTGTAGAGAAAAGGAGTAGTGATGAGAAGTAATCTTGCTGCTTCTTTATTCTGAAAAATTCAATGACTGATTTACAGATACTGCTTATCCATCATGATATCCCAGTGTGGAAGATGGGGATTAAATTTCAGCCTCAAAGGTTATGGGATCCCTCAAGGCTTGGAGTATAGTAATGGAAAATTGAGAACCTAAAATAAGGGATTTTAGAATCTGCATAGTGAATAAACTATTTTATCATTAGGTATTTGTTCTGCTGTGAATTTAGGATTATGTAGATAGGACTGTGCCATGTGCTTTTTCTAGAGCCTTAGAACTTTCTCTACTGTATCTTCCATTGCTGTTCAGTTGCTCAGTCATGTCTGACTTTTTGCAAACCCATGGACTACAGCACTCCAGGCTTCCCTGTCCTCGCCTATCTCCTGGAGTTTGCTCAAACTTATATCCGTTGAGTTGATGATGCCATCCAATCATCTCATCCACTGTCGCCCCCCTTCTCCTCCTACCCTCAATCTTTCTCAGCGTCGGTTTTGTTTTTCTTTTTCCAATGTATTGGCTCATTGCATCAGGTGGCCAAAGTATTGGAGCTTCAGCATCGGTCCTTGTCGTGAATATTCAGGGTGATTTCCTTTAGGATGGACTGGTTTCTTTCTTATATTGTCTTTCTCTTCAGTTTAAGGCAAATTTTCTTTGATTCTTCTGAGTTCCTATATAATTTCTGAGCCATTCCCCTCTGGTCTGGAGTGTTACTAATAAGATTTTCTAAGCACTGCTAAAAGCCATTACCTGACTTGACATCCCAAAGACTTATAGGTCACCCCTTTCTTCTGAAGACTAAGATGTCTTAATCTTCACCTGTGTATTAGGAGTAATACATGCTTCCTAGGGTGCATGGTCTTCCTCTGCCTCAAATCTAATTCTCAGAGTTCCAGAAAGAACTCCAAAAAAAAATTAGGTCTTCTAGATGTATGGTATACTTGTCTTAAAATACCATAGTTTTGACACAAAGTATCGTATTCAAAATCAAAATTCGTATTCTCCCTGTACTCTGAAAAGGTCAAAAATAGGAAACTTACTCCCAACCTTGTGATTCTTCTGTGTAGTTTACTTTCTGTGTTGCTGTGAGTCCCCCTTCTGATGTATATATCCTCATTTTATGGTAGTTAATCCAGTTTTTCCTTTGGCTGACTGGTCCTTTCTTGTGGTGTCTTCACTTATTCATTCATCACACATTTGGTGTCTTGCATTTGTTCGGCACTATGAGGAGGACCAGGGTCACAGCCTGTGAGCTGCACAGCCTCTGGCTTTATGGCGACTTACGTCCCTTAACTGTTCCTCCAGAAACCGAACAGGTCGTACTGGTGCAGGGGTGTCATGTTATTCTCCTAAAATCATGATTTCTTCAAGGCACATGTCATTTGAGCTTTTAAAATGTACTATTTAAAAGCTAATAGCCAAATAGTTCCTATCTTTAAATAAGTTCTACTTTACTTCAGGTAGAGTGAGTAGTATAACTGCCAGTTCTTATTACATGTAAAGTTTTCTTATATCGACCTAAAAAATAGTCACAACCTTAAAGTTGAGAGTTATGTTTTATCTGGTGGGAATTTTTAGGACTTCAAGCCCAGGAGACAGCATCTCAAGTGGCCCTGAGAGAACTGCTCTCAGGAGGGGAGGAGGAGCCAGGTTATATAGAAGTTTTTCAGCAAAGGGCAGGTATTCTGAACATCAAACGGTTAATTAAAGAAAATTTAATTAAATTTAAGAAGTTAAAAAGCTAATTAAAGAAAACCAAGTGGCTCAGACAGTAGAGAACCTGCCTGCAATGTGGGCGATCTGGGCTCAGTCCCTGCGTCAGGAAGATCCCCTGGAGAAGGAAATGGCAACCCACTCCAGTATTCTTGTCTGGAAAATCCCATGGATGTAGGACTCTGGCGGGCTATAGTCCATGGGTCGCAAAGAGTCAGAGAAAACTGAGTGACTGACAACAACAGATAGCCTAAGTTAAGGGATTAGGCACGTTTCTGTGCATGGGAAGATGCAAGAGTCTGGGTTCACTGAAGTCATTCCTCTCACATGCCTCTCAGCTCTCTGAGGCCAGGTTCCTCGTTGGTCATTGATCACGTCCTGAGTTCCTCCGTGCTCACCATAGGGAGTGGCTGTAGCCTGCAGCCTGCCAGATTGAGCAGGTACTGCTCTCCTTCCTGAGTACCCCTAGGACTCGGGAGTTCATATTGGAGGGCAGGGATCACTGATGACTGTGACATACTTGTTTGCTGATATGGCAGGAAATACTCTCTTTCTTACTTAGAATATTTTGATTAAGCTCTCCAGCTTTTCCGTTTTCATGATCAGTATAGCAGCTTTGACTCTGCTGATACATGAGAAGATCAGGCTGACTAGCCAAAGGAAAGAGACCAGCCAACACCTCTCTTTCATTCTCCTTAAGACCTTCGGCCAGAGGAGACTGTGACCCTGCACCCTTCCACTGCTCTGTGGCCATTCTTCAACCATTGTTGTTATAAGTTAGGAAAGCATCACAGTAATTTTATTTATAAATATTATGGGAATGTGTTATCCACAATAGGGAAATGTTTAAATAAACTACACTGTAATGGTAAGAAATGCTTTCTGTAAAGTGTTAAGTGAAAAAAATAACATACTAAATGACATGTAACAATAATAAACATATTAATAGTAATATAAATGTAATAATACCAAAAATAATACAATGGAAGAGCGGCCGGCACGTTTTAAACAATCACTGTGTTGTGAACATGTTTTAAGTCTTTGCACTTATTAACCTATTTGGTGTCCTCATTTAATCCCCAGAACAACCCTATCAATTGGCCATTGTTAGCCAGTTTTTCCATGCGAACAGAAAAATGTGGTATAGAGAATTTAGGCAACTTGCTAGGTTCAGTGAAGACAGTTCAGGTCTTTAACATACTTGGATTGTGGTGGGGAGCAATGACAGACCTCAGGCCATACAAGAGGCTCACTCACTGTTGGGTGCTGTGTATCATCAGTGTGGCCACAGGGATGCTATGTGGGTAGATGGGATCGGCATCAGCTGTGGATTCGGGAAGACTTCCGTGTGGAAGAAACATGGAGCAGAGTTTTAAAGGAAGAGTTGGCTAGTTTTCCATCTGCATAGGCAAATGGGAAAAACGTACGATTTGTACGAAAAATGTTGCTCTCAGAAGCTGACTGCTACTTATCATTGGACTTAATTCCTTCATCTGAACAACACAGTCAATGTCTGCTGTTTCTTCATGGCTTATCTAATAAAAGAGAGTATTGAAAGCTCTATGGAAGTATTCAGTGCTATTTAATCATTTTAAATTCCTTAAATATATGACTGCCGATTTTCCTGTGGTTTCTTAGGTAGATATGATTGTGACCTTGGGAGGACTTGCTGGACGTTTTGACCAGATCATGGCGTCTGTGAGCACTTTGTTCCAAGCGCCTCAAATAACTTCTTTGCCAGTTATAGTAATCCAAGAGGAATCTCTCACCTACCTACTCCAACCGGTAAGTGAGCATTAAATACAGCGTCTGCACTTTGCTTCTACAAAACCTGTAAGATTTTTGTAGATAAGCCGAAAACATCCGCCCAGTTCATGTGTTTCAACTGGAAGAGTAAAGTTGACAAGTTTGACTGCATCAGGTCACTTAAGGGGAAATAGGTGGAAGAGAAGCTGCAAAACTTTCATTTTGTTGTACTTAGAAAAACAAAACTAAAGAAAGAAAATAAGGTTTTTAATTAAAGTGATTAACAATTAAATTTAGCATTTTTGCATTTTGAGCAGCTGAATATGAGTGCCATTTGAGAAAAATCTCAGCAGAGGAAGCACAAAGCTTGGCAAATATTTCAGACGGAATTCTTGAATACTTTCAGTGCTGTCGTAATTGGAAACTGTATTTGATTTTGTGAGGTACTTAAAGTCTTTAGCTTTTACTGTTCATAAGTTGCTTGCTTGTTAATTTCACTTTCATGATGATGTCATTCATTTCCCATGATAAACAGCAAGGGAATTTTCTATCATTGTAGTGCTTAGAACAGAAATCTTATTATATAAACATGTTTTATGAGGTTGATGGGTGTATTTCAGTTTGAAAAATAATAACCTGGTAACATTTTTTAAAAACAGTGGACAGTTGTGTTTTTTTTCTTTTTTGCCTCTCACTGTAATGTGCTACATACAGCTTTGCTTCCACTCCATCTGCTGTTCACCATCTGTAGCTTGTCATTACCTAAAAATTGTTGTGTGGTTAATATGGCAAGTTATAATGCATGCTCACCATTGTTCAGCCACTTGTGCGTTGTTGTTCCCCCCCGCCTTTTTTTTGTTTTTGCGCTGCCTGGCTTTGTTGCTTTCTGTGAGATGTGAAAAGGAAGTTGAAGAATTCAGTCTTCAAACTTCATGCTGTCCATTTATTTGGTCAGCAGATAGTTCCGGAATGCCTGCTGCCTACCTGTTACACTGATGGGTAATTGAAGATTAAACAGAAATAGTAACATAGGTTCTTTAGAACTATAGTTCTAAAGATCTGTAGTACATGTCCAGTGAAGGAGACATTTATTAAACACAAACATAAAGCAAGACTGAAAGTTTAGGACATAAAGATGATGAAAGATTGTATAATCTGGTCATGGGTGTGGTAAAGAAATACTTGCAGAGGCATTTACATTTTATTCAATCAATTAACTCAACAAATATTTACTGAGGACCTGCTCTGTGGGTCATGTACTATGTGTCAGGTACTTTTCCGAGGATACAGCAGCCAGCAAGAGCAAAACCCTTGCTTTCATGAAACATGCATTTTGTTGAGCTTATGTTTCAACAGACCCTTGAAGGATGAGTAGATCTCTGTTATGGGGAATGATGGGAAAGTCATTCCAGTTAGAAAGAGCCACTAAAGAAAGACAGAGCTGCAGGGCATGTTGTGGGATCTGCGGGTAATACTGAGCCAGCCATATGGAAAATACCGAAATATCAGACTCAGAAGGCTCTGAGGTCCAGAAGACTCATTTAGATCCTGACTGTGAAAAGCCTTGAATGATATATACTAGAGTGTGAAATTTTTTGCCATAAGATATGGCTAAGTCATCAAAATAGCTCAGTTAGCAGTCTGACCTGCACAGATATGCTTCTTAGATTTCTAATTAGGTATTTGTTAAATACTTATAATTTCCCAACACTTTCTGAAGTGTGAAACTCTTTACAATTAAGAAGCTTTGAGCTTTATTGTTTTATTATGATTTTATTTATATGATTCTATGAACACTTAAATAGTCAACTGTAACTTGTCTCTGTATAAATATTCTGGCTAAGAAATAGCTAGATATCATAGGATAATTTTTGAAAAGTAAATTTGGAGCATCAACTGATAGCAAAAGCCATGTCTAAAAATGACTTCTGCTCTTAAGATCTTTTCGTTGTCAGTGGTGTTCTGTACCTTCGTTGTATAAATATGGACTTCCTAAAATGTATTCAGCTTGGGATTTCTTAGAATTAATTCTCCATCTATAGATTGCTGTCTGTCCTCAGTTTGAAAAACTCACAGCCATTATGTTTTCAAATATTGTCCCATCACATTCTCTTTCTTTCTTCTTCTGCAACTCCAATTGAGTGTGTATATATGTGTGTGTGTATATATATATTTATATATATATATATGTTCCTCTAACTGCATCACATATATCTCAAAACTTCTTCATATTTTCTTAGTTTCTCTGGGCCGCATTCTGAAGTTCCTCTTCACTTCTGCAAACCACTTCACACTTCTGCTTTAGCTCTTCTATTTTGCTACTGAACTTATCCTTTTTGTACCAAAGGCTTTTAAATTCCTGTCGTGATTCATCTCTCTTATATACTTTCCTCTTACTCACATTTTAAAAATTCTTAAAATGTAATTGTTGTACTTTCTTTATAGTCCGGAATAATTCTGATATCTGCAGTCTTTATAAGTTAAGCTGTCTTTTCTGTTCTTTTTCCCTTTTATATTTTGTAACCTTGATTTCATTCTGTATTTTGTGCTTTTTCTCTGTGACCTCGTATTTCTGGGAACTTTACCTGTGGGAATTACTTGAAATAGGAGTTGAGAGTGAGTCCAAGGAGACTCTGAAGTGGACTTCTAGCCCAGTTATTTATAGACACTAAAAGCTTAAGACCTTTTGTTTGAGATTTTTTGAGGACCATCTAGGTGGTATATATTTTGAAGCTAATTCTGCTGGGAGTTTGACTTCTGATTACAGATGCCCCAGGAAGACTTGTTCCTCTTCTCATCCAGAATTTGGTCAGCAGTTTTCCTAGCATTCCCGTGGGAGTGTTCTTTCTATTCATCTTTGCTCCATGAGCCTCTACTTAGGCAGTGCAGTCTCCTTTTACGCTCCTGTCTTGCTCAAGCTCACTCTCCTGATGACCTTCCATACTTGGAGGCTGGAGAAATTGAAGTGCAGTTCATGATTTGGTAAAAAAAATCAAATGCGTGTAAGATGAAAGTTAGATTTGGTGTTCCTTTTCAATCAAAACCTAGTTTTTGGGTTTTGAGTATTGTTTGGTGGCGGGGTGGGGGGAATGTTTGATGCATTTTGAAAGATTTCCCCCCCCCCCTTTTTTAAGCTTTTTTGTTGTTGTCAATTAGCCAGGGTACTAATCTACCCTGGGTATGTTGCAGTGATAATTAACCCCCAAATCTCAGAGGCTTAACTGAGATTAAGCTCAATTTTTTTTTTTTCATTCATGAAGAATGTGCTGTGGTTTGGGGGGTATGGTCCACTTTGTATCTGAGCCAGTTGGGACACATTGAGGCAGCAGGGATAAAAAGATAACTATAAGGAGTGGCACTGCATGTTTTCTTCTTTAAAATTTTTATAAATGTGTTTATTTTTTGGCTGTGTGGCATGTGTAATCTTACTTCCCCAACCAGGGATCGAACCCATGCCCCTTGCTTTGGAAGTGCAAAGTCTCAACTCCGGGACCACCAGGTACCACGTGTTTTTAAAAGCCAGGCCTGGCAGTGGCTTGTGTCGCCTTTGGTGGGAGCGCAGTTACTCTGCCCCAGCGCAGTGTGAGGTCGTCTAAGAGAGGAAGGCCGTGGGCTGGAAAGAGGGCTGAGCACAGGACGTTGTCTCTGTCGGAGGGCCAGAAGCTGATGTTGGGAGAGAAAGTCTGGGATCGTGACCCTACACAAAATGTATAGTATTGTAATCATCTTTTCTTTTCATTGGTAATATGTGTCAAAGTTTAATCAGTAAAGAGCAGACTCCACAGTTCCCCAAACATAGTGATCATGGTGAGTGTGCCTAACATACCGTGAGTGTGTTAGTCACTCAGTCTTTGTGAGTCTGTGGGCTGTAGCTCTCCAGGCTCCTCTGTCCATGGAGTTTTCCAGGCAAGGTTACTGGAGTGGGTTGTCATTCCTTTCTCCAGGGGATCTTTCCCATCCAGGGGTTGAACCTGGGTCTCCTGCACTGAAGGCAGATGCTTTACTGTCTAAGGCACCAGGCCCTCTAGGATCTCTTTCTGGTGTGTTTGTTTTTGTCTTATTGAAATAGCTAGAAAATTGTCTTATCCTAAGTGAGTAATGATTGCGTAGTGTGAAGCAGAAAGCTCATGTAAGATCACAGCCTCCATCACATGGAGCGGTGAGAATGTTGAGCACAGACTTTGGTCTGGGGCCTTAGCAGGGCTTACCCGCGACGCATGCCGGGGGCCTGCTTCTCAGTCACTTGTTCTTTGTTCTGGAGCACAGTTGCTTCCCAGTGTTGTGTTACTTCCTGCAGTGCAGCCATGCGTATGCACATATCCCCCCGTTTGTGGGTCCCCTCCCATTTAGTCACCACAGAGCACTGAGTGAGGAGGGCCTGGCACCCACTCCAGCACTGTTGCCTGGAGAGTCCCAGGGACAGAGGAGCCTGCCGGCTGCAGGCCCCGGGGACGCGGCGTAGCCGCAGCAGAGCGCTGAGCAGGGTTCCCAGTGCCGTGCGGTGGGTTCTCATCAGTTACCTATTGTATGCACAGTGTCAGCACTGTACACATGTCAGTCCCAGTCCCTAGTTCATCCCACCCCTCCCCATCATCCCTCCTTGGTAGCCATACTTTTTTTTCTCTACGTCTGTGTCTCTGTTGCTGTTTTGTGAATATTATAATCTGTACCACTTTTTCAGATTCCACCCATGTGCGTTAATACACCTCGTATGTTTTTCTGACTTACTTTACTCTGTATGACAGACTAATCAGTCAGCTTCCAGGACAACTGCAAAACCCAAATGAGTGTGTTTGAGGGCTTAAGATACCAATCAGTCTTATATACTCTGCCATATTTTTAAGCAGTTTTAATGGTATACTTATGAAATGTGATTAACACCAAAAATCTGTTAAAAGGTATATTAAAATTATTGCAGAGATTCAGCCTACATCCTAGAAATGAGATATGTACCATGGGAGAGAAAATGACTGTGTAATGTGTGTTTTCACATATCTCCATGGTATATGTTGCACATGTAATAAAGCACACATCTGTAT